AATTCTCTGGGTTTATTCCATGTAGTTAAATATGTTTCCAAAACTTGTATCGACTTTTCTAAATTGTGTCTGCAAAATATTATCTTGATTGGCCTCTCGCCATAAATTCACAAAAAGATCTTGCGAAATGTGCATGTGTAAGTTAAGATCAGAAGTTAAACGAATTTATGAACAGAGCAATTCATAGCCAGAATTATCTCAGTAACATTTTTTTCATCTGTCTATTTATATCTTGACTAATTCTAATACACAAATGTGTTCACTACCTACCAGGGTGATACAGCTGCATGTTCTGTATGAGTTCAGCGACAAGTTTAGGTGTGTACGGGGATCGAACTTGGTTGACCAGTTCCAACACGAACGGTGCTTCGTCAAGAGTGTACCCTTCATCAAGATATAAATAAGCGCATAAGTAATATCAAAGTTTGACCTTCTACACAAATAAATCAAAGAAGCTTTCAAAACCAGGAAAACTCAGACCATAAACACCGACGAAGGGAGACACCAGGCTATCGATAGGCGAAACGTCTCTGGTCGAGTGAAATGAAAAATATACAATTTCGTCACATCGATTGTACAGGCAAAAAATATAAATAGCTTACTCAGTCATAGCTTGAGAAAGGGATCAGTCAGTCTTGAAATGTTGCGACACGTTTAATACGTATTTTTTTGTGTAGATAGTGAAATTTGATATCACATATTTCCAAACTGATGAATCTTATTGAAGATGAAGCACATAAGTACATTTTATACATTACAATGTAATGCTATTCCGACAGTACACATGTTTGTACATCATCAACTGTAATTTTCCAGAAATACATAAAATGGAACAGAAAACAGCAAATACATTAACTTGTGGACATCAACATAATACAAAGCAACGTTCTTAATGTGACGATAAGGACTTCCGCATGTCCCAGCCTAAGGACATAACCCATTGCTTACCCAACTTGGGCAAAAGCACAGCACTAACGCCGAAAGTGAGGTATTGTCGAGCAATGCACTAGGATCCAAAAAGTAAGTAGAGAGAAAATAGAAGTACTGATTAAGGAATAAAGCATATCCCAACTTATAAACGAAACAAGAAATCTTAATTAAAACTAAGCCTCGCCTCCGTTTCTGTATATAAAGGTATAGCTACAGATGAACCATGCATTCCTATACCCCCCCCCCCCTACACCACCCCTAATTACCCATGTCGACATAATTTGTAAAAGATGCCGATATAATCTGAGAAGATATTTTTATATTAAGTCGACACAATTTTAGAATTATGTGGCGACATATTAACATTTGTCGAGATATATTGCCGAATTAAAACACGTAAGCACATCGACAGGTACACACACGCAAATATGAATATATAAATACACACAAAAGGTCATTACTGTTAATTTGGATAGATACCCACCCGCTTTGCCACCCTCTGGAAAGCATTTATCAAGAATAGGAAGTGTCTTAAAAAGATGGGGTTCCCATTCTGCTTTTTCAGTAGCCTCCAGCAAATCCTTGACGCAATCGGGTGGTATGGATAACTCTCCTTGTTGATTCATTGATACTACGCCTGTTGCCATCATTGCCTGGCTAAGCTCCCAAATGTATCTAAAAAAGATACATATAGGTAATTTAAGAGTAAACAGGTAAGTATTATGACTTTGAACTTAAGTTCTTGCTTATATGGAATACCGTAGAACTTGCGTTTTGCCCGGATCTTAATCAATCAGGCCACACAAAAGATAGGAGATAATAAAGGGTGTTTAGCTTTAGTAACAAATGCAAATGTTGAAAAGATTTCTTGCTGGCAAATGTGCAATTAACACGAAGAAACTAATCAAACATGTTAGAATCAATTTAGTTTTCTAATTCCAAGAAGCAAATTAAAACAAATTTATCAATCACCCTCGCATTACTACAACAAATTTAAGTTCGTAAACATACTGTACCTATCCTTCATGTGGAGCGATGTAGCAAGTTCACGTGGGGCCATGGGTTTTGCTGCTATTGCCTCAAACAGGTTCAGTCTATTGGCCAATTTCATGCCAGAGCGTACCACTGGGTCTGCCGTAGCCTTCTTGAGGAGCGCCGCGTACAACTGCCGACTCATGTTCAATGAGCTGGAAGAAATATGTTTGAAGAACGAGTCCAACAAAAAACAAGATACAAAAACAAAACATTTATGTTGTAGCTGTGACTTGTCAATAGATTTTATATTTGTTTTATTGAGAACATAACTCACACTGCCATCTATGGATAAATCTTTACGGAAACAATTCTGTGAAAATCTAAGATCGAATTATGGTTTTATTAACACTTTGGTATTCCCTTGTTTTTAAAGATCAGTGAGGAATAAATATACCTTTCTAGATACCGTCGTACATATATATCGCTGGTAATGAAAGAGCCGCCTAAAAGCTATAAAAGGACACTCAGAGGTCAGATATATTTATCTAAATATAGGCCTAGGTCAAACAGAATCTTTTTTTTTTTTTTTTTTGTACGGTTTTGTACTGTTTTTTAATGTTTTGCGGCCCATCTACAAACAGAGGCCACCAAACAGAAGTCATCAGTGTGATTACCAAACAAACCGAATAATGTGGAACAACAGCTTAGAACTTAGAGGACAATGCCAAAACTAATAACCCATTGAATAATAGCGGGTCATTAACATCAACGTTACAGCTGTACATGACAATAAAAAACAAAACATTACAAATGATACTCTTCGTTTAACGACGTACACGAAATTAGTTAACACAAAGTACAGTTTCATAAATGGCCAAAAGAACAAGCGATACACTGCACGAACAGACCCTTACTTACCGAAAGTAAACATATTTGACATTAGACACTAAAAATACCAAATTTCGGTGAAAACCCAATTATTGGAAATGGAGTCTATTATGCAATTGTCATAGAGAAGAAAAGTTTGCCGGGGGGTAAGTCATAAAAAGATATTTTCAAAGTACAAGCACACACCAAATAGAAGAGATGACTATCCTCCACATATACTATGTCTAACCTTGGATATTTCTTCAATTATCAAACATTACAACATCTTTAGAGGGCTTTATATTCAAAAACGGACATTTTGTTTCTCAAATCCTGGTGAGTATTAACCCAACTTGATGATTTGCTGACAGGTCAATGTGCACTGAGTCAATGTTATAAGAAAAACCATCAGTCATATATAACTATACTTAGGTAAAACTAGGCTACAAAAAGGTTTCACGAATCCGCGGAAGTCAATTAGGACACGTTATGCATACACGTGAATTTTGCATAAATCTTAACATAGTTTCCCTTTCAAAATGATCAGTGTTAACGTTTCAATACGGCTGCAAGGAATTAAAGAAAAACAAAAAGAAGTCAAATTAAATAACTGCATCAGGTCCGGACAGTTACCCCAGCACATCGCAAAGTTCCTACATTTCAGAATGTCTGTGGGGAAGTCACTGCGGAAAGTGATAATAAAGTCTGCAAGTGACCAGATTTACATACCGATGTGAACAGCAAGTGTATCTCCTCAGGATCTGACAGCTTCACTGGAACTCGGGTCTGTGTGCAGCACCGGACTAGTCTTTCTTATATAGATATTTGTTCTAGTGTATTAACGTAGACTTACTAGTCAACAGGAAGGTCGAACTTATCACTATGTCCGTTCAGCGAAAGCGGACACTTCAAATTAATCTGGCTAAGCTACACTTTCCTGTCCAATGATTGATATAGTTCAATACATGTTTACATTGTTATGTACTGAATGACTTATAGTAAGCACCGCTATCGAATAGGGGTTTTTAAACAAAAAGTAATTCTCTGAAAATATACAACACGGGAATAATTATTCTCTGAATATATGACATGAAACATGTAATTAATATTTTTTGAATTTAAACAAAATGACATTATAATAAATGTTATCTGACAATATATAACATGACATTATAGTTAATTTTCTCTGGGTATATATAACATGATAATAAATATAAAAACACATCGTCTCGATCATAGTAAAATTAAATTGACTGATGTCTAGGAGCCGTGCATGTATATACGAATGTTACAAATCGTGTTCCCTTTTTCACTTCATTACTTGCGTTGAACTTTGTCATATACAGCCATAACGGGATTAACATACATGTACGCTGTAGAACAATATCAGTGGAATTTTCTCTACATTTTTTCGGGTTTTTTTTGTTGAATAAAGTTAGTTAAAGTTAGAAAATTTTATGTTTGTTTCTGATGTTTCTATTACCAATGGTTGAATGTGGTGCAAACTTGTATTTGACATTTCGTAGTTCAAAAAAATAGACTCATTGCTATTTTACAAATGTATGTATACACGAACTTGTTAGAGGTATGTGTAACCTGTGTTGCAGTATGTACTGAAAATGTAGGAGGTTTTTATCTTTTGTAGTATCTAAAGTGTTTTATTTCTATCATTGTCTCCAATGTTCTGATGTGTAAGGTGTTGTGTTATTCCATTTTGTTTCTGTAGTGGCTTTTGAGGCGTTTTCTACCTTTAGTTATTAGTGCATGTTTTATGTTCCCTTTCTATTTTTACGTTATAAGGTTTGAAGGGTGTGATAATGTGTTTGTTAGTTGCACTTTTATACCTTTCATTCTTAATTTCAATGTTTGTACATCAATGCTTCATTGATTCACGAATTCCCCTTAGCAATATAAATATTATAAGAGTATTTCAAGTGTTTAGGAGGCACGGTAGTCTAGTGGTAGGTTTGGTTTGGTTTGATTTAGTATTGTTTAAGGTCCTATCAACTTATAGCTTTTCATGTTAAGAAATATGATAGGATATATGTGTTGTCGCACCGTACCGCTTCTCGGTTTTTTTTCTTTTTCATTTCAGTTTTATGATATTTCAGTTGATGAGCAATGTCTAAGAGGTAGGCAGATATTGGAAATGCAAACAAACTATATAAATCTTAATTTAGAATACAGACCATTTATTTGTATTGCAAAATAAAAAAAAAATAGCTGCATCATATATATTAAAAGTGTTCCATTTTGGGTACTCTCATCATATCTTTGTAATTCATAAGGATAACAGAAGGATCTGTGTATCGACTTCAATTGAAGTGATCGCCGTTTGTATCTATGTACAAACATAAAAATTAAAATATTAAAATACTCGACAAAAGGAAGAGTGGATATAGGTAATTTCTTACTAAGGTGTATTACTCACGATGTCCGATGTGAGCGTATAACCTTCAGTCTAGCAAAATGTATCCGGTGTATTGTGAACTAGAAGTAGAAGATTAATCAATTTCCGATGAAAGGAAAATAACAGGATAATAGCAGATACTACATTCAGGATACGGTCTACATCAGGTCAGGTATACGTATAGATTGCTTATGTTTAGAAGAATATGTACTCTGTAACCTCCACAAGATAAAAATGTTTTGTTTTGAAAAAGCACACACAATACATATCGTACTAGTCACGGAAACGTTACACATAAACAGTCTACCGGTTGTGCTGGATAAACCTACATGTAAACGGACACCGGATATTTTGACCACACAATCCATACAAGACGTTCAATTGTTTTTATCATTTATTTCAATAAAACAGACCCTAACTTTATCATGATTACCATATAATATTTTTCCAAACTCAATCAATCAGTTAATTATAATATTATAAGTTATATTCTCACTAGCGTATATTTACTGCGTATCGTAAGGAGTGACAGATATTACAGTTTATACATGTATGTTCGCATTTGTTAGACATGCTTCGGCGCGAATAAATGCATTTGTTGTAAGGTTATAATTTAAACGCCACGGATCTGATTCCATGTCTGGATATTTTTCTGGGAGAAACTTGTTTGTTTACGTAACATTCCTCAACACCTTACAATAATATATATGATTATATACTAGTATATATAGTTGGCTTCATATACTTAGTATTGGTAACAATGTACAATATTGGAGAGTTTGTTTGCAGACAGATTTGTTGACGGATACAGTATAAGTAACTCTTAGGACCGTTTGTTTACGGATACAGTATTGGTAACTCTTTTCTTGAACTGGTTTGATCAGTTTGTTTGCAGACTCAATATTACTCACAATCTCTAGGCACTTGCGGGATAACGGAGTTTCTTTAGACACAATATTGTTCACACTCTCCTAGAATTTTCAGAATCATTGTCTTGCAAACTCAATATTGTTCACACTCTCCTAGAATTTTCAGGATCATTGTCTTGCAAACTCAATATCGTTCACACTCTCTTGGAATTTGCTGGATCATTATTGTTTATCTTGTTTTTGTTTTGCAGACACCATGTTGTTTACATTCTCCAGGATCTAGTAGGGTCGCTGTTTCCGGACAATAATCAATGTTTCTTGTATGTTTTCTCATTCATTCTCGAATGAATTGACAGAATCACTGCTTCTCTGCAGACACGACCTTGCTTACACTCTCCAGGAACTTGTAGTAGTTATACTTGATATCATACTGCATGTCGTACCAGAAGTTCACTGAAACAAACAGCGCCCAACTTAATATCTACTTATATTGTTTTGTGGACACACCTTACGACCAGTACTAATCATATAATTCAAACAATTTCACTCGTCCGACCTTATTACATTTTATTCCTGGAGTTATCCCAGGACATGACAGAGAAATATAGACCTAGCAATAATCTGGGATTTGTTTTACATAATCATGTTATGTACGACTTATACAAATTTACGTGCGACGTCAAAAACAAAGAGTCCAAGAAAAATGACGTAACAAAACGAAATGACAATAATGAAAAGGTGGAAATAGAGAATAAAAAGTCGAAATCTATCTAACTTGCAGCGACGTTATAGTTACAAGAACGTCTCAGTTTAGAGGTATGGCTTGTGTAACTGTGTTAAATATCCACCGAGTATTCTCCAAAAGGTCAGTGCACAAGCAAATGGAATAGCCACTAGTATATATTGACAACAAACTACCTTCAAACATGTTAATGTTGATAGGTCGATAAATGATGTGCATATTGTACATCAATACGCTAAAAGAAAAAGCAATGCAATCGACAGGCACGTATGGTGCATCATTAAATATCGACGCCCTCCATGAACGTTGATCAGGTTTGGCATTATTGTTTCCATCTGATGGTGAGTTTTCCAAATAACCAACTTACCTATCAAAAACAAGCGTTCTAAAGTGTATCGAAAAAATTATACCTGCAATGCAGCCGTGTGATTGGCTGACATGGTGAAACCATAGTGAGGGCAGGTACAGCGTCTGACCGGCATGTACTGTCACCTCCATGGGTCGTGTATGTCGATACTGGGGGTAGCGATCAAGGTCGGGACTCAGGGGATCAATCGCCACCCAGGGCACCTAGGATGTAATGAGATGTACACAACAATAAACTCGTCAGCATGTACAACTCTCTATCAGAATACAATGACTACGCACAGTGTACAACAGTATGGACAAATGAAGCTGTTTCTGGTTGTCACTTTGAAATTTGTTTTGTCTAGTCATTATCCAACACGACAGTAATAAGATCTGTGTTAGACAGGCCTGTATGTTAATCAACTTACACTAGTGCCAAGGCCCTGATCATGAATATTACACAGGTGTCTACTAACCCTCTACTCTGTAACTGTAGCATTAGGCACCATAGCCATGAAGCATTAAACATGTAGATATTATGGGCGTATTGCTCGAGTGATTAACACTCCGGCCTTCCAAGCAGGTGGCCGAGGTTCGACCCCCGAGGTCGCCATACGCATGGAATATTCAGAGAAAGTGTTTTTCTCCTACCCACACAAATCCAACAACCCAGGTGGAGTATAAAATGGTCTGGGGTGGGTGTTGCGGTATCTGTGCTGTAGCATTCAAGCGAGGTGGCACTATAAATGATACCGTTGGAAGCACGGACCGACTAAAAACAGAGCACAATACATCTCCAGCACACACACAGGCATACCACACATAGGGAGAAATTAGCCAGGTTGCATATGCCTATTAGTAAGCGCCTGATAAAGCAGCTCCTGCGAATTCCTCAATATCGCATTGATTAATATATATGCTAATTGTATCGACTGTATAAAATTGTATATATATGTACTGTAAAGCGATTTAGAGTGGTTTATGTTAGCTAGATAGTGCGCTATATAAAATGCTGTATATTCATTTATTTTATATGCAGATCCCACATACGGGGTCTGTTATTATTTTGAGCATGGCCACAACGTAACAAAATCCGTTTTCAATGCATGAGCAGTATCGACTTAGCTGTCATTGTAAACGACCAAAACAATTATAGAGTATGGTTTACCTCTAATGATAAGAAACAATAATACCTTGCCTGTTGCCTCATCGTCTACGATTTCAAATCCACCTTTGTCTTTCTCTCGGTAATAAGCACTTTGATATAATTCTGTAAAACAAACGTAAAATATAATCAAGTAAACCTTATGATATAGATTACTCAGGGAAATCTTTAGTGCACTGGAGATGCCCACCATCTCAAAAACTGAACATTTCTCAAAACAAAGAGGAATGCTAGCAAAACGCATTCATTTAACCAATTACTTCCGTCTTGTTAAGACATTCGAACGAGATTTGTACAGTAAAAAGGCTGTTAAATGTCTTACCATACGGGACATGAGCGAGTTCGGTAGGGGGTATGAGGATAAACTTTTTCCATCCCCTTATCACACAGTACAGGTTTTCGTAGTGGTCTCTGTGCACTGGAAACCAAAATATAAAACTATCAGCTTGCGTCAAGTTAATGTTAAGGTTCATAAAAATATTTCATGACTATTTAGTTGTATATTTTTACTGCAGAGTTCCAGTTTATAACAATTTGATCGCTTTTTGGTTTTAATCAGATTGATGTCTGTTCAAACCATAAAAACAACATTTATTTAAGCATGCGTTCCATTTTTATCACAAAATCTGTCACAAAGAATCTGTATTTTGTAGCGTGGTGGCCGCCATGTTTTTATTACACACTTGCTCGCACATGATTGCATACGTGCTATGCGCTCAACCTTCAGTGATAGTTGATATCATCATAACACACTTTCACATTAAGGAGGTGATTGGTATGCTTGTCCACACCATAATCATGTCCTTACAACATAGTCCTAAAATGGAAGGTTAAGATCAATATAGATTTCTTCCGTACAACCTGTATATAAATTTACGAACTTTAAATGTTTGTATGAACACACAAACATATCAATAAGCCTATTACACTCGAATTTAATGTAACCACAGGTTCAAGTACAAAGAGCCATACCACCATTTGTTTAAAGACTTTCTTCAATAGAAAAATGTAGTCTTATCCAAGTTATATCCCTTATACAGGAGTTTTCTTTACAGGTTTTAATCTGAATGCAAGGATTGAAATGAACCTGCTTCATATTATGATGTTTTACAACACAATTTACTGAAATAAGTGAAAGTGTATTACAAACCTCATTTACCATTTTTCTTTTTAAACACCTCATTCCTTCAGCAACATGGAATGAATACTATGCACCAGACCTTTTCGCCCTCACAGGATGGGTGGAAAATCGCAACACTTTTACGCCCCCATGGGAAGGTTGGAAAACCTGCACCACATTTAGCCCCCAGGGTATAGTTCACATGCTTATAACACATCCCTGCTCTCACGGGTTACCTAAAAATGTTTAAACAACACCCTGGCCTTTACGGGATGTTTACATGTGAAATGTATATGTTAGAATCACACCCTCCACTCATGTTTTTTTTTTCTTTTTGCATACTTGTAACACATTCTCGCCCTCTGTGTATATTTGGCATGCTTATAACTACTAACGCCCTTGTTGATTGTCTGCGAAACATATTTACTTGAGGTCACAGCTCTGCCATCGCCCATCCAAAAATTGACAGCATCAGGTGGTTGTCCTACGGTAAAAACATCACTATTTACATGTCATAATGTCCACTCCATTCAGAGAATAAGAACGTAATAATACAATGTCAATGATCACTCCTAAGAATGAAGTTCTACATGAAATGAAATTGTAACTTGTAATTTGTAGAACTGGTTTTACTAGGGATCTTTAACTTTGCTTGAAAAGCAAAAACACGCAAGCGAAAACTTGACGAAAAGAAGTACAACTGATTGTGCGTAATTGATATCAATTTAAAATACATTGTACTAGTGACTCCTACACTGGTGTAAGAATCAGCAAAAGTTTGATTGACCTTTATGTCCTGAAGTTTTTGTAACAAAAAATCCCGACGGGTAAAAAACAGAATACAATGGATTGATAACGAACGACAACGATCATAAACAACTCCCTTTCTTTCTTCAATGCCGAGTATTCAAAACTGTGAAGGAAATCAGTGTAAATTTTCAAACTTAGAATTTCGATATAAGCACCAACAGACCCATATACATTGAACATAACGATTAGGCAGGCTTACGTGTAATAGACCTTTTATAGAAGACGAGTAACTACTTTACATATCGCAAAAGAACAGAACAATGCATATACCAGACAATATTTTCAAAATCTAACACACACCAGTCTGTTACAGCGTCAGCATACCCATTAGGCGTCAAACTTCAAGCTGTGCATACCGAGTTACCCCTGTCATTTTCTCTTATATGGAGCGAAATGAGCAAAACAAACCTCTTCTGAATACCCAGTAACAGACAGGGACAATGGCGCGGACCCCTGGTCATCTTCCCTATGGAGTTTATTTCAGTATAATAAAATACCTATTGCTCTAACAGTAGGGGGAAATTCATTGTTTCCCTTAAATTTGTCATATTCACCTCGGAATAAATTTCGGGAAACAAAAGATTCATGTTTTCTTTCCACAAGGACATTAAATGTTTCATGTATCCTGTCAAATTATAAATTACAAAAAGCCGATGGAAAGCTCACCGAACGCCTCCGTGCCCCAGTCTATATGACTGTCTACGTCACTAATGATGCTCGAGAACTCCTCGGTAAGGTTGGAGTTCTGTTTCTGTATATAGAACACCCTGTGATCGTCCGGTCTTTCCAAATTATCCAGGAATTCAGACATCGACATCTTTCTTTCATCCGGCATCACAAACTTGCCCTCTGTTACAGCGTCGGCATATCCATTAGGCGTGACGGTCACCGATACCTTCACATCGCCGATCTTCTTCCTGTAGCAAATCAAACCACATTGTCAATTAATTAATAAATTATATTACTCTTACGGCCAATCAAAGCATGTGGTGCATCTGTGAACTATAGAACTTCCAATGAAAACATACTGATGAACTACTACTGTGTCAGTCAAAACAGGCATTGCATCAAAGAATTATTAAACTTCAAATCAAACCACATTGTCAATCAATTAGCCAATTTCATTACTCTTACGGCCAATCAAAGCATGTGGTGCATCTGTGAACTATAGAACTTCCAATGAAAACACTGATGAACTACTACTGTGCCAGTCAAAACAGGCATTGCATCAAAGAATTATTAAACTTCAAATCAAACCACATATCACAAATCCATGGAGCTAATTTACCAACAATAAAAGAATCTGGTACATCATTTACTTATTTCACTGGTATCAAACGTTCAGTAACTTTTACGTCTTCCTGATAATGGATTGTGCCCCAGGTGACCGCAATTTATCAAATGAGACCGCCCATTGTTGACAGACAGAACAGCTAGGTTAGTCTACGTTAGACTATAACTTTACAGTTTTAAAGGCATGATATCTTCATTCCACCTCCTACTTGAAGTTTAAAAACTCGTAAATTGACAGCACAGTGCTTGCCAATGAGGCCAAACACTAACCAAAACAAATCTAGCGTAAACGTTCCTGCTGTGACAACCATAGGCAGCCATTGACCAAAATGAAGTCACCAACAGTCACAAGTGGTCGATGAGCGGTGGATGTTTGAAAACTGTCGTGACGTGACGGCAAACCGACAGCCAATGTGACTCAATGTAGAAGCCAAGTGTAAAATATCCTGGTTTGACAACCATGTGCCGCTGTAAGTAGAAAATAACTACAACGCTAGGAATCTACCCTCACCTACCGGGTCCTTTCGGCCAATGCAGCCTGATCCAAACCTGATTGCCCCATCACTAAACAAATCATTGCCTAATACAACGATCCCACAATGTACGTCTAAATGCCCCATTGATTCTGACTTATGATACAACTAACAGCCATGCTTGTACTATTTTATGACGACCAATCGATGCAAGCGCTGTGGCATGAGGTACCTAAAATAAGATTCATCCCATTGTTGTAGAGCTGACCAGTGCCGGATGGCGCCCTCCACAACAACTGGTTTATTGGGAGCCACATACTGCCTGTAGAAGGTCAGTGGGGACACGGGGGCGCTGAGGACGGACACTTGTTTATCCAGGTACAGTTCTGAAACGACAAGTGTTAAACACACTTATAATGTATGGGCACCATAATAGCCTTGTCTGATTTTAGCATAAGACAAGAGACAAGTTTGAGATATGAAAATTTCAGAGATTATCCAGTAAATTGATCTAAATTCTAACAACTTTTACTCAATTTTCAACATAGCCGAGGTACAATATAAGTACTGGACATTTCGTTTTTATTATACCATCCAATTACTTGAATTGTCATCCAATTTTAATGACACAATGATTTAACAAATTTATGCAAAAGGCATACAATGTTAAGCCCTTCATCAGAACATATAACCTCCTCGATATGCTTCATGGTACATCAATTGATCATCAGAAATTTTGTTGAACAATGTTTATAGCCCTTCATTTCTCCAAACAAAGTCACACAGTTGACCCCTGTGATCCTGGATATAAATATATAAATATATTTGAGCACATTTGATAGTCTCTAAAAAACAATCTACTTGTATAAGCAAAATATTAGTATCCAAAGCGTCAATAGTCATAAGAAGTTGCATGATTTTTTAATATCTTTGACCCCCGTGACACTAAATGTATGTCAAGGTCTTGTATTTTAAGAAAATTAATAGACCAAGCTAGCGAACAAATACCATGCCTTGATGTTCTAAGTTGTCTCCGTGAAATGTTCAAAACTCGACAAATGTAACCGAGAAAGTAAGTCATTTTTAACACGTTAATTAATTATCCCGATTCAAAACATTATGGTTCTTTAAAACAAGTCGTTCAAAGATAAAGAAAGACGGACAAACCACGCGCCATCTTGACATGTCCAAATGTTTCGCACCAGGCGTGCTGCACATCACCGGACTTGTGCAAGTCTAATACAGAGCAAGTTCTAACTCTCACGTCCGATAATTATCCAAAGAAGGTGGAGCAACATGAACATGTATATACGTTTCCTTATGAAGTCACGTGCCTTATTGCCGGTAATGACATTTCGTGAGTGGCTACAATGTAAACTGTACCTACCTCGTGCTTCCTCGGCCACATTCCTCAAACATTCTGTTATTTCGGTACAGACGTCAGATTGACTACTCATGACGGGCACATGATTTCAGCCAAATTGTTTGATTGTCGGCTCATTTCGTAATCCTAGAAACATTATATCTTTGGTGGATCATGTGCGATCAGGTGTATAGGCCTATTACACGCCAAACTACCATGATCTCTTATTATTGACCGAGAAATGGTACGTTACACCTGTGGCTGCTCATAAGAGTTTCAATACAAAGAAAGACAACTCTAACTAAAGCAAACCACACAATAAAACCAGGAATAAGAAATAAGTCGTGGATTTTATTTTAAAATGTCCTGCTTACTGCTTATCAAATATGAATTAAAAAATAAATTATATGAACGATAATGCTATTTAAGATATATCTTGACGTTATGCAAATCTAATCAATATCTCTTTATATTAATAAACGTGTTCAATTACGATATTTAATTATTTTTATCTAGTTGAACGGGAGGGAGTCAGAGAAAAGAGGTTACGTTTGGGATTTTCCTTCACATGAGGTGAATCCTGAATGATTTCTACTGCATGTACATATATATATATGTAGTTATAGTCCTATCATTTTGTTAACAATACACAGCCACCTTTTTCTGACAAACACCCCCATTCCAAAAGGTCCCATACCTAAACATTTAAAATGTCATTTATTGATTAATATTTGCACTTGAATGATGAGCAATGACCCAATTTTACTTTTACCTGTAACACAATGTCACAAAACTTCTTATACTCTGTTAGTTCTTAATGATTCTGTGTCATATATAGCATATAATCTTTGATATCGATGTTAAGGTATCCGTTAAGCTTGAATCAATCAAAAACAAATGAAAAACTGTTTTGGTGCCTCGATATTTTACTATCTTGTCAAAGGGTAAATGTTTATTTATTTTTGTATTAAATGTGAAAACATAATAAATAGTTTGAATGCTACAAGAACTAAATATACAACGTTTGTTATATTTCTCAAAAATGAATATTGGTAAGTGCATGTGGTATTGATTTAATGATATTCAGACGAAGATTATAGGTTATCACAAAAACAAAACAGTGTAATAATAACACTTTCAAATAAAAAAAAAATTAATATAACTGACATTGTTGTGAAAGTTGAAAAGGTCACTTATTGTCACTGTAGCCAAATTTACACTGGAAATTTTGTAACCAACAAAGCTATTGATTACATATATTCGAGAGAGTGCAAAACGTCATTGTCCAGTCTGAACGTTTTGGTTAAGTAGTACAAGCATATCAACATGTCGATTAAATGAAATTGTCCTCACAATAATGGTATGCTTACTTACTATTTCATAGAATATCATTGCATCTATTGTTACGTGTCCATTACCATATATTTTTTCTTAGTATGTCTACTTGTACCTGTAGCATTATCAGATATAAGTGATTTATAAGGCCACTATTTGTTAGAAAGACCAGAAGTATTTATATAGGTACACAGTACTTGTTTCCCCGTCATGTTTGCTAATGTGATTTATACTTTTCATGCCATGTGTTCCATTACTTGAACAAATACAGTTTAAATCAAACTTGTTACAGTATTTAGGAACATGAAGAGTCCCACTATCAAATACAATACACGACCGGGCCGATACACGTAGTACGATAACAACATGAGTGTACAGATGCAATGATTAAAAAATACGGCTAATGCTTTATTAAAGTTTATATAATTCTAAAACAGTAGATCAGCAACATTCTGTACCAATTTTAGTATCACACACAAAAATGACAGTTTAGTTTTTAAAGCATAAAAAGAAGAAAACAAGATATACTTTTCAAGACTTTGTTTCATGTTTCATGAGACATTAACGACCTGAGAATTTGTTACAGCTACATTTGGACCTAAACTAATGTGTTCAGAGTAATTTTACATGTTTTATAGGGTTTAGATCGAGTATGTGATCTTTGGGGTCATTTTTACCGAAAGTCGATGTAAACCCCTAAAACATGTAAAACTACTCTGAACACCTTAGTTTAGGTCCAAATGTTGCTGTAACAGATTATCAGGTCCCTGTGTTATTTACTAGAGTTGTAGCACGCCATTAGACGTGTAAACACGACACTTAGTCTAAGGTCTCCCTTTGATGTCCCATTTACGATACATTTAATAGTTTGTGTATCTAATATACAACGCCATGCAAATCCGATGGAATGGTCAATTCCTGTTTGGAAACTGTGCACTATATTTTCGAGCTGTGATCAGTATACCGACGCATTTCTGCTGTCAAAACTCGCAAATTTGTCTGAGATTTCGAACTCATGTGGGTTTTTTTGTAACATATAATGAGTTGATGACGTCATAAATCTATGTTCTGACATAAATCTGACATTCCGTGTGTATCGACAGTAATATGTTTGTCTAGACCAGCGTCATGGTGAGAGGATTTGCGTCGTAGATTATCTCCCCCTTAGGGAGAGTTGATGTGCTGCTGTTTGATTATTTTGTTTGTTTTTATTCAGGGTTTAGCATCCACGTAAGAGTGTTGCGATGGGGTAATAAATACATTTTAATTTTGTCAATGAACAGTCCTAAGCAGATAACAAAAATTATGCGAGGAAGACCACGATATTTGCCTCATAAGTTCAGTGTCCAAATATGCTAATACGGTAAAATATGGAAAGCTGGTTACAAAAAGTAATATGCACTTTGCGTACAGCTATAAGTATAGTAGTCTGGTGGTGCAGTGGATAGTGCACTTGCTTTTCACCAAGGTTTCCTCCCACAAGAAGATTTTCCTGTACTTCCCCTTACGGAAAAGCCCGTAAATATCTTGTCTGTTTTGCTATATTTATTATATTAACAATTCAGGGACGATAACCCTACCGTGCTTGATGAAACACTCCCAATAGCACCAACTCCTTAACCAAAGAAACATCGAACATCGTTACATTGAAACAATGACTAATTGATAGAAAAGGCCAACACTATGGTGTTATCGAAATTTTAAATATAACAACAGTTTTGGTATTGGCGTGAAACAGAGGTTCAACAAGTACCTAAAAGATGTAATAGTCACACTAAAGTTCAACTCCCTGGCAAGTCATAATGTATTCAAATACACTTATCAGAAATCGGAACATATATATGTAATTTAAATAAATTGATCTTGCTGAATGTTACAAAATGCCATGTTATTTGAAGATCATTTATATACCTAGGTCATGCAGGATTTTGTTTCTCTTTAACTATACATATGTATACCGGCCTCACAAGAAAATGATTGTTGCTATGGGAAAGTACAAAAATCATAGTAAAACGTCCGTGTAACATATTTTACCGGTATATATGTGTAAAACCATAGACCTTTGACCATAAACACTACTTAAACTTCATATAAAATGTCCTTTATTAACATCCAATGTTGTTATGAAAGAGCTAGACTTGTTATAAACATTATTGCACTTTTCAGCTTTAATGTTTATAACATGTCTAGCGCATTCACATAATCATTAAATGTTATCAAATGGCACATCATCTAAAGTTCATTTACCTTTGTTTTCGTATTTATAAATTGATAAAATGTATTACTAGGGTATTTAACTACGATTTAGTGGTTTCGCATTGCAACATCTATCTTTATTTGAGGTCGGAATTCCTCTCAAAAGCTAGTAGAAGATAAATAAAGCTCCGCACGACCTAGGTATTTAAATAAATTTTAAATAAATTTTAAATTATGGGTCATTTGAAGACATCAGCCTTAATGCCTTAGTTTTGACTACGTTAACCTGGCTATGTATTTTTGTATAGCCAATGTACAATTTCAATATATACAAATAACTTATATAAGTTCCGATTTTTTAATTTTAGGTCTTTGAACATGACTTATCAGGGGGTTTAAATTTTAGGTGAATACAGCATATTTTAGAGAGCTTGTTAAAACTAAGTATATATCCGACACTAGTGTTGTCCCGATGATCGATTATAATCGATATCTAATCGGAAAGGCAACCGATTCCCAACAATCGATTATGAGATGTCAACATCATCGATGGCTGTTTTCAAAACCGGAAGTGCGAGTTCTACTTTCATTTTCACTAAGAGAGAACGGGGGTTCATATGTCATTTTACTCTTAACTATAACTTCTTACCAATCATGATATTTAAACATAATAAATTGCAAAAAATATAAAAGATAACTGTTCATCAATAATGATTGTTACGTTGAAATGGTATGATAAAAAATAAAGATACGAAACTACGCGGAATAAAGCTAATATAAAATCAAAATGACGGCGAACTCTGCTACGGAGGAAATAGGCCTAAGGATTATGTAACGGTAGGCTAACCGATTAATAATCGAAATTCGATCGTTGACACTAACCAATTATATCCGATCATCGATGTTGAAATCTCAACCGATTCCACACACTATCCGACACACACTATGTCCATTAAGCGGGACTGACTGGGTAGGGTTTCTAATGGCGACTGGTTAGATCGTCCATGGAATGTTTGGAAGTCCCGGCTCGAATATCGACCTAGCCAGTTGCATTTTCCCGTTCCTATTATTGTTGTGCCTGTGACCATCCCTTGTTTTAAGTACTGTGTGTACGCTTGACAAGAAGTAACCGAACCTGAATTGTAAGTAGTGTTGTATTGAGGGGCGATGGCTTAGACAGAGGAGGGAACGGTGTAGCCGAACTTGCCGGGTGACTGTCGGTGACTAGGCAGATGAGAGCGGTTGTCTACAGTTGGGACGTCCAGAGTTCAGATTCCAGCCTTTCCTGTCACAAACGTACAGTATTCCGTCTTTGCGTATTGCAGAGTTATCTTCTCTTGGGAGCAGGTATCGATTGTTACGTCATTGGTTTGTGTGAGAAAATTACGTCGTTTTCTCAAAAATTGATGTCGTTACTCTCAAAAACAAGTGACGTAACAATCAATACCTGCTCTCAAGAGAAAATAACTCTGCAATACGCAAAGACGGAATATCTACCCAGACACATTATACTATAGCAAACAAGTTAGTTATATTTTTACTTATGCAATGAATACTTTCTGGTAGCTTCATAATTGCTATACCTGTAATGTAAGTCGTATTGTGAGGCGTTATGTGACAACTGGATAAAACTAAAAATAGCAGCATTGCAATACTTCTGTGCCTACAGTCCGTTACCAAGTTCTATCTTGGACCCAGTAATTGTTGTAACAAATAAATGTCGACAACCAAATGATG